TCTCCCAACCCTAATTCCAACCCTAATGTACCTTCAGCAGCCTGGGCTTGTGCAAACTCTTCAGTACTTGGACTTGCACCTCATACTCAATCTGCATCTCATTCTCAGCATTGGTTCCCAGACTCAGGGGCCACTCATCATGTCACATCTGATCCATTGAATCTGCAACACAATGAGCCTATTGCCACTACTGACAAGCTCTTTATGAGTAATGGACAAGGTCTGGAGATTAAGTCTATAGGTTTTTCAACCTTTCCTTCCCCCTATCAATCTTCTACTTCTCTGTCTCTTAATAAACTGCTTCATGTCCCTGAAATAACCAAAAATCTCATAAGTGTCAGTCAATTGCAAAAGATAACAATGCATTTTTTGAATTTCATCCTCATGAATGCTTTGTTAAATCACAGGTTTCTAAATAGATCTTGCTTTATGGCATCCTTGGTGCAGATCATAGTAGTCGATGGCGTAGTTGGCGAGCGCCATTTTTCGCCATTGGCGATTCAGGTAGTCTTCGCCAAGATTTATGGCTATTGGCAGGGGATACACAGAGCGTTGCCAAAAGAGCGCCATCGCCATGCCATCTTTTTTTTTTTTGCCAAAAAATGGCGTAAATTAAAAAAAAATGGGCCCAGACTAATCGACTTCAGAAAATTAATGGCCCGTTGAGTACGTGGGATGACTTCCCAGCCCTACCTGTGTTTAGTCACATGTGACTCTGAACATAAAAACAAAAAAACCGCTAATAATACCAATTTCGAGACTGTGTATGTGCGTGAGAGGGTTCTATTTGCGTTAGATTAGAAGTATGCGATGAGTGTTGAAGGAGTGACCACCCAACGAGCATCCAACAAGCAGCCAGCTATCGGCGGCGACCTCCTAGCAACCTGCGACCATCCCAGCGACCACCCAGTTGTGCTTCCTCGGAGATAAAAAAGGTAATTCCTCCCAGCGACCACCCAGTCATATGGGTCTGATGACTAGACGTGAGCGAGGAGGGGATGACTATAAGTATTAGTCAACAGATCATAAAGATCAAACTTTAAATTCTATTTTTTAGACATTAACTAGTTATGGATATTAAGTTGGTTTGATTTGGATTATTTTTGGTACTACTTTGGTTATCTAACAATTTCACTCTTTAATTGGTGGTTAAGTCATACACGTATATTGTCTATATGTTATGTTTAAAGTTTTTTAATGTTATGTTTTACTGGAGCGCCATTTGAGCGCCATTTTGGCGCCATCGCCATCGCCGCGTGAAATTACCCCTGCGCCAAGTCCGTCGCCGTGCGCCGTGACTACTATGGTGCAGATGGTCTGTGCAAGTTTCAGTCATTTCCAGCTATTGGGTCTCACAAGTCAACTGCTACCTCTGTTTGTCCTAGTTCTTTAGTTTCTACTTGTAATAACACTCATTCACATGACACATGTAATATCTGGCACTTGAGACTAGGCCATCCTCATTTAGAGGCTCTCAAATCTGTATTGACTCTATGCAATATTTCCTTTATCAATAAAAATGTTGTTGATTTCTGTTCAGCTTGTTTTTTGGGAAAAGCTCACAGGCTTCCTTCCTATCCATCTACTACTGTTTATAATAATCCTTTTGAACTCATTTACACTGACCTATGGGGTCCAGCTCCTGTCCAATCCTTTGATGGTTATTCCTATTATGTGTCATTCATTGATGCATTTTCTAGGTATACATGGATCTACTTTCTCAAGAAGAAATCTGATACTTTGTTAGCCTTTCAAATTTTTTTATCAGTATGTGTTAACACAGTTTAAAGTCTCCATCAAGTCAATCCAGTCCGACTGGGGGGGGGGGTGAGTTTAGATCTTTCACACAATTCCTCAACCAAAAGGCATCATTCATAGGGTTATCTGTCCTCACACTCACCATCAAAATGGTGTAGTTGAAAGGAAACATCGCACCATTGTTGAAAAAGGCCTATGTTTGTTAGCTCATTTATCTATACCACTAAAATTCTGGGACACTGCCTTTGCCACATCTGTCCATCTCATCAATAGACTTCCATCTAAATCCATCAACAACCTCAGTCCCTATTTCAAATTGTTTGGAACTCTTCCTGACTACTCCTTTCTTAAGTTTTTTGGGTGCTCTTGTTATCCTTTCATAAGACCATATAACAAACACAAATTTGACTACCACTCCAAGGAATGTGTTTTCTTAGGATATTCTTCCCATCATAAGAGATACAAGTGCCTTTCTCCATGTGGCAAAGTATACATATCCAGAGATGTTGTTTTCAATGAAACAACATTTCCCTTTACAACCCTTTTTCCAACAAAACCAACCACTCCTCCTACTGTCCCAAGCTTCTCATCTTTTCCTATAACCATTTCTAAACCTTCACCCTCATCCTCTACAAACTGTAACAATGATGCCACCCCAATTTTACCTTCTTCAGAGTCCAATTCCTCATCCTCATCTCAGTCTCCTTTTGACAACAATACTGCCCATCCTAATTCTTCTCAATCCAATTTATCTTCTTCTTATTCTTCTAATCCTGAGCCACATTCTTCTTCTAACAATACTAGCTCTTCTCAGAATCCCTCACCTCCCATTGACTCTCACAACTACTCCCCTCCTCTTCAACTTCTGTCAGTCCTTTACATAACACTCACCCTATGCAAACCAGATCCAAATCTGGGATTGTTAAACCTAGACTTAATCCCACCTTGCTGTTGGCTCATACTGAGCCTAAATCAGTAAGGCATGCTCTCTCTTCCCCACCTTGGCTTGCAGCAATGAAGTCTGAATATGATGCCTTACTAGAAAACAAAACATGGACCCTGGTGCCTCTTCCATCAGGTAAGCAAGCTATTGGTTGTAAGTGGGTATTCAGAATAAAGGAAAACCTAGATGGATCTATAAATAAATTCAAAGCAAGGCTAGTTGCTAAAGGGTTTCATCAAAGGTTTGGTTTTGACCATGGTTTCAAATTGCGGACCGCAACCGCAATTGCGGCCGCGATATTGCGGTTGCCGAGGGCACCGCAACCGCATCAGCCCGCAACACCCTTATGATTTGGAATCACGGCCAAAACCGCAACGTAACCGCGACGAAACCGCAACATAACCGTGACGGCGCCGCAACAGGCCGCAACAGGCCGCAATCGACCGTGACATGCCGCAACAGACCGCAACGCCTCCGTCTGTCCATCATTCTTTCTGGTGCGAACTTGAAAATAATTCACGCCGCAGCAGCCGCAATCGCAACCGCAACCGCGACCGCAACCGCAATTTAAAACCATGGTTTTGACTTTGGAGAAACATTTTCTCCAGTGGTCAAACCTGTTACTATCAGGGTTCTTCTCACTATTGCTGTTTCACATCAATGGTCCATACAACAACTTGATGTGAACAATGCCTTCCTCAATGGTGATCTTGAGGAAGAGGTGTACATGACACAACCTCCAGGGTTTCAAGCTCAAGATACCTCTCTTGTTTGTAGACTGCACAAGTCTTTGTATGGTCTAAAACAAGCTCCAAGGGCCTGGTTTCACAAACTCACCTCTGTTTTGTATAATGCTGGCTTCAAACAGAGCAAGTCAGATCCTTCACTTCTCATCTATCTCACCTCTGGTATACAGATATATATTTTGATCTATGTGGATGACATCCTAGTCATAGGAAATAATCCCACTGTTTTACAACAAATTATTCAGAAACTTCACTCTTCCTTCTCTATCAATCATCTGGGAGAAATCGACTTCTTTCTGGGTATTGAAGTCAGAAAACTTGCTGATGGTTCTCTTCATTTGTCCCAAGCTAAATATGTTAGGGATCTTCTACACAAAGTTGGAATGTCTGATTCTAAAGGTGTCAAAACACCCATGCTAAGCAGTTGCAAACTTACCAATGAAGGCACTGACTTACTTCCTGATCCTTCTCACTATAGATCAGTAGTTGGAACCCTACAGTGTGCAACATTAACCAGGCCTGAACTTAGCTATGCTGTGAACAAAGTTTGTCAGTTCATGGCTAAACCCTTACAAGAACATTGGAAAGCTGTAAAACACATACTCAGATACTTGTCTGGTACTATCAATCATGGACTGATCATCAAGCCTATACCACTTTCCCACACTCCTCTTCCTATCTGACCATACTGACTGGAAAGCCACCTCTGGGTCTTGCATTTTCCTAGGCCCTAATGTTATTTCTTGGTGGTCTAGGAAACAACCCAGGATTGCCAGGTCCTCAGCAGAAGCTGAATACATAAGTCTAGCCGACACCACCTCAGAAGTCTTATGGATTCAATTTCTAATTCAAGAACTTCAAGCTCCATTCTCAATTCCCAGAATCTATTGTGACAATCTCAGTACAGTTCAACTTGCTCATAATCCCATACTTCACTCTAGGATCAAACACATGGAACTTGATCTATTTTTTGTACGAGAGAAAGTCACACCCAAGAAAATTCAAGTCTTTCATATTCCAGCTCATCAACAAGTTGCAGATGTGCTGACCAAGCTTCTAGCTTCTATCTGCATCATCCTTTTTAGAGTTTAGAAACAAACTTAGTGTGATTGATTTTCCAAAACAATCACACTAAGTTTGAGGGGGGAATGTTAGATATAATAAATAGATTGTTCTTGTATTGTTGTATACGGTTATGTTTCTGTTAGACTTTTGTTAGCCTTAACTGTTAGTAGCTCAGCTTCTAAAATGTATAAATACTCTGTAACTTCTCTTTGATCAGTATGATGATTCTATTTCCTATTCTCATCTTCTATTAGAACATAGGGTGGTCGCCCCTGTTCACTAGTTATAACCGGCAGTGCACATAGTTCCCATTCATGACATCTTCTTGGGTCATTCTCAATTGTCTTGTCACAAGTCATTTTTGTACCAAGTTTCCCGGAGATAAAGAGTTCTGTTTGGATTCAACAAGGAAACAAATACTTGCTTACAGAATTTTAATCCAAGGAAAACCTTGGATTAACGACATGCATATGATTTTGTATATGCAGGATGGAATAGGAGAAGGGTTTTCACCATCCGCTACCACTGACACGGGCCAGGCATGTGAGAATGAAAAGAACTTAGAGGCATGAATCTTGGATAGTTTCTAGTCTATTAAACTTGTGATCTCTGTATTTCTGTTTGTATTCTCAAAATCTGGATACTTTTACATGGTTTTCCTGGTGCTTATGTAATTTGCAACTTCACTTTATACACATCTTGATTTTTTAACCAGAAGTATATAATAAATGATAAGTAAACAAGTGAAGTTCTCAAGTTTGCCAATACCTATGTCCTATAATGAATTAATTTCCTGCAAACCATCTACCTGTTATCCTTACTTTTTCCTAATAAGAAAAAAAATGCAGGTAAAACAGAGGCCGTGGCTATGTTGAGTGCCATGACCCTCCTATGTGTCCTAGGTCAAAGAAGGTCATACCAGGACTCATAAGAAGGATTAACGGAATGGAAGATGAAACAATGAGGCTGGAGAAAAATGTTAGGGAACCTATAATGAAGAGACCAGATGCTATTAAATCCAAATGCAATGAAAAGATGATATTTGGTTTGCTCACACTGGTCATTGCTTTTGTGATCTTCATACGGTAAAATAAAATTTTCTGAGAGTTGACAAATGCTGATATCTGCCATTTCGGTTACGAAAGCTCCGGTTTGGAAGTTTGGAATTGAAGTTTTACTCAATGAAGCCTCCAGTTGTATTTTTAGGTTGTTTGTAACAAGAGTATGTTTATTTGGGTTTGTAGTGTCTGGTGCTTTGTTTCAAGTATTATGTATTATGTATGTATAAAAACAATGTCAAATTGTATTAGGTACAATGACAACTTTTGTGTTAAAATCTGCAACTTAATAGTGAATAATTGTTTGAATTAGTTATCCCTGCTACTGCACAATTTCAGCAAGTATCAAGTAATAAGGTTGTTCAAAATTACTCACTTGTGATGTATTCTTAATACTTTTTTATAAATCAGTCAAATAAGTAGCACAATTTAAGTTTTATGATAAACCAATCACATAAACTATCTTTTTGCACAAATAAACCAGTAGATTTTAACCATTTGTGTAATACTCTCTTGTGTGCCCTGCCTTTTGTTTTGAAATCAGTTATTTTTCTGTTAAACACTTAAAACAGATACATTTGTGCAGCACATGTAGCAAAAAATGACAACTCTTGAAATCAATATACAATGAACACAAGCTGAAAAAATACACCCTAAAATGAATCAACAATACTTGATGTACTCACTCTTATATCCACCTTATACCCACCATGTTTGTGATTTTTTTTTTTTGTCTTTGAACCCGTTCACAGGTAATATTTTGTTTGTGCAAAATAATGTCTGTGAACTGGGATTCACAGACAAAAAAAAACCTTCACAAACATAGGTGGGTACAAAAGTGGGTATAAGAGTGGGTACAAATAGTGATGGACCTATTGCGGGCGTGACCCTCTTGTGATAACGGAATTCAAACACATGAACCACTTTAATAAAGAATGAAACGCATAACCCTATCTGAAAACGGACCCAACCACAAGTACCTTGTTTTTTAGTATATTGGGTTAGATGATGGGTTTACAATTGTAAAAAGGGCTATTTGACCGAGGAAGCAGTCCAGCTCAGCTGGTCACCGACTCACTCTCCCTTATGAGAGGTCTCGGGTTCGAAACTCAATTGAGTGAGTTTCAGCACAGTTTACTCTAGGCCCCCCCAGGCCCACTCCCCTAGACACCCCTGGAGTAAAAAAAGGCTATTTGACCCTTTTTTCAAATAAAAATAATATCACTTTTTCCATTTTTTATTTTTCTTTCACAAATAGACTCTATACATAGAACTCCACTTATTGGAAGGTTGCTTCTTAGAAACGGAGATTAGGTTGATAAAGTGGAAGACCAGTCAGCAATGATACGTTAACAAGTAAAGACATTGTTGACGTTTAAGTCCTAGAAGTCCAAAGGCTCAATACATTCCTTTGGCTTTCGTGGGAGTCCTATTAGTATATTAGTTTAGGTCAGTGAGTGTTTAAGGAAAGAATAAGGCAGAATAATAGCAAGTAAGTTAGAGGCAAAGTGGGTCCAATTCTATTAGAGACTTGGAACGATTACAAATCTAATGTTGAGCCCGAGGTCTAAACCCCTGGATCAGGCTGAAGAGTATAGAAGAACTAGAGATAAGTCTATTGCTAATAGGCATGCAAAAAAAACCCGGCCCGCAATGACCCGCCCTGGCCTGAGACATTTGGGACGGGTCCGCCCTGCCCCGTCTTGCAAATGGGGTAGGTCTGCCCCGCCCCGCTCGTACAATGGGACGGGTCTGAGTCTTATTATTGACCCGTGCCGCCTCGACCCGCCCTGGCCCGACCCGCTCAATATATAAGTGTACATACATTTTAAAAAAATATAATACAAATATACTTCTACATAAATATATGTATACATTAAATCATAAATTCTTTGGTCTTATAATATTTTTTCGTAATATTTATATTTGAATGAGATGAACGATAAATTATCAACGTCTTTTTTATATATAGCATTTTAATTTATATAAACAATTATTAATATACATAGATTAATTATTCAAATCTAAGTACTTTTTTTATTTTGATTTTTTTAGCTTATTTTGGCTTTGATTTAATATATTATTTTTTTTAATAATTGTTCAGAGATAAACTTTGTGTATAAACTTTGTGACTTTTTTTTATTGTAACAACTTCACACAAACAGAAATGCATACTAGCTAATTAGGTTATGACGGAACGGGGCAGAGCGGACCCTCCCCGCATGGGGCGGGTCACGGTCAACAAGTTCGGACCCATGCGGGTCACGGGGCGAGTCCACCCAGTGAAGTCACGCGCGGGGCGGGTCCGGGTCTTGCAGTACCCGCCCCGCCCCGACTCTTTGTCATGCCTTATTGCTAAGTATATACGTTTGTCAAGCGTTTACAATGAAATAAATGAAGCTATTTATACTAGAAGGTAGTGGGTGATGAGGGTGTTGTGCTCAACCCTGAGGCCAATCCTCAACCATAAAATCTTCCATATATGCTGCATTAAATGTGTTTCCTGCTAACGGCTTGGGAGAGCTTTGCCGTGGATGGAGAAGTCTCGGGCGTTCAATTTCTTCACTGCCTCCCTATAGCGGGATCTAACAGTTTGGGGATCCTTGCAGGCCACCCCTACCCCAGTCTTTGTGGGGAATTTAATGCAAGAGTGCCGCATGGAAGCTACTACTTCCAAGTCGTCCAACCTTGGGCTGCCCATTATGGCATTGTGGACGCATTGCTGGCGGATTACCACGAATGTCATTCAGATAGTCGCACGGTGAGGACCATTACCTATCTTAACCGGCATGGAGATGGTTCCCTCTGCGTCGATGAAGCCACCCGTGAAGATGGCTAATGCGGTTCGCATGGCACGGGAGTCAATCGGTCCCTAGTAAGACCCATTTTCTCAACCACATCAAAAGTATATGCCATTGGCGCTGGTACTCGTATCGATCGAGATTCGTTGTACAATAACATTGTTAATACTCACGACCAGTTCATCCTTGTGAGGACCACGAGAATTGGGCAGATCTTTCGGACCAAAGGTGATTAGCCCAATCTTAGGATGTTTTTACTTGGACTGTAATTTGCTGGTCTGATCTGGTCTGGTCTGATCTGGTCTGGTCTGAACTGGTCTGGTCTGGTCTGGTAAGGTCTGGTTTCTTTGTATTTTTATAACTATCCAAGGCTGGTCTGGTCTGGTCTGAACTGGTCTTGTCTGGTCTGGTCTGGGGCAAATTACAGTCCAAGTAAAAACATCCTTACTTCTATTCAGGGGTGGATTGGTTGAGTAGATATGGATTCCATGCACATAAAAGGCCCGCTCAAACTTCTTCCTTTTGGTCAGGGTGTCTCCGGTTTCTGCCACGTCGAAGATCACCTTGATCCTCATCCTCGGGGTTGCCCCTGGGTACCCTCGACCCTTTGGGCTGTTAATGTCACGCCCCGGACCTACCCAGACACGTCAACAACCCGCCGTACAATACGAATAGTCAACCACAGTCAAACACATCCATTTTATACAAGGCGTCTCAAATATCATTCACACATAAGTCATCCATAAACATACATAATAAGCAATTCAATATGCAGCGGAAAATATAGTTTAAAACAAATGCTACATAGGGCAATCATGTGCACGGAGGCCCTATAGTTTAAATATCCATGAGCATGCTTATTAATGTTCAATAACAGAATGGAGAGAGCATGAACCAAGTCTTCTCTCCGGGAAATCACTCGACCAACGAGCACAGGAAGCAAGCTCTAGCCTTAACCCGAAATGGTGGTTGGACGCCCCCGAAGGGGTCAGTACTCTATAGGGCTATAAAGTACTGGTGTGGATGACATCTGATAGATATACAACAAGTACTTCAAACAAAAGACCCTCAAATAGGGTGACAACAAGTCACCCCTTTTCAAAATATACTTACTTTATATAAAGTCAAGTAGTCAACCCGTGGGCCCATATTTGTTTATAAATCGCCACCCCAATACCCCGTGACTACAAGTCACGATAATTCATAGGGTCCAACCCTAACTCATCTTTTTTGCATATCTAGAGCTCGGCTCAAGTACATCACCATGGCAAACATAGGACACAAGCCTATCATTTCACCGTGCATTTCTAGAGTTCGACTCAAGTACATCACCATGCACATCATGGGTTACAAACCTTCAATCTCACCATGCATTTCTAGAGTTCGACTCAAGTACATCACCATGCATGTCATCAATCACAAACCTCTTATCTACCCATACACTTCTAGAGTTCCACTCAAGTACATCACCGTGCATGGCATAGATTCCTAATCAAACCTATGCCCAGAATTGACATATCAATAAACTACTTTAGGACATCCTTAAGGACTGCCCATAACATGATCTCAACTTCATACTAAATCAATTTAGGCACTTGAATCATATTCAAGTGCATCACTTTCAATCCAACCCTTAGGATCAATTCATTAGCCATTACAACAATCATTAACTAGTATCTCAATACTATTAAGATTATTCTTTTCGAATCAAATATTCCAATTTGTAATTTCCTACATATTTAGATATATGTGGCACCAATTTAAGCATCCGAATTCAATACATAAGTATTCATTTATGTATCTACACAATTCACACATGAGTAAAGTGCCTATTTCACATAATAGTTCATTAATAGCTCATTTAATTTCATATTATCAATATGGCCTCAAATCATTTCCAATTCCACTCTTTATCAAATATATCAATATTTTATCAATATTTAAGCATCATAATCCATGAAATCGTGATTTAGACATTTAGGTAATCTCATGCTTAACCTACAAGTTGTAAGCAACTAGATGTCGATCATCACCTCAAATGGCTTCAAACTTTTTCTTCTTGATCCAATGCTCAAGGCTTCAGCCTATTGGTGGAATTCGCCGGATAAAACTGCAAAAAAGCGTTAGAAATAATAATATAGCTCGAGATCCGTTAGACATTGTCCTCAAGAAAGTATTTCCGACTAGCGAAAACCTTTCCCCAAGATAAGACGAGCTCTTCGGTATAAGCCGGTAACAGAACAACGAGAGTATAAAATAATATTAATCCAGAAGAGTTTTAACTCGTATTTTTATCTCTAAATAATCTGTTGTCACGCCTAGAAGCCCTTGGCCGAACACACACAGTACATATATATACTAGTAGTACCGAACATTGCTTCTCAGATGATAACATTCCTATATTAAATGAGTTTAACGTTGAGTGACGTACACTTTGTCGTGAGTGCACTCAAAGTAAATCGATACTAACACTTATACGTAGTATAGTGGAGTAGAGTTCGTATCCACAGGGAAAG